AATATTTTAATAGTAAACCCTAATGTTATACAATCTTTAAACTTTAATTAATTAAAAGTTTTTTAATAAAGTTAAAATAGTTTCTTAACAAAGTTTATAAAGTAGGTTTTTAAAAATATTTTTTATTTAGAAAGTATATTACTAAAATTAATTGTTAAGTTTTTATTATAAAAATTAATTTTAAAAAAATTAATGCAGCCAAATTTGCCTGTGTTACAATCTAAGGAATAATATATTAAATGACATATCTGTCACATGATAGTTGTTTACATACTGTCACATAACAATTGTTTACTTTATTAACTATAATGCCTCTAAGCCTAACACTATATTAGTATTTACTCTGTCTCTAATTAAAAAAGGATTTACATGCATATATATACTTGTACATATATGTATATATTATAACAAATTTATTAATAATAATAATCTTAAAATGAATTATATATATCAGTACTCTGACTCTAACTCTTTAAAAAAAGTAATATTTAAAGTATATATTGAAAAAGTTAGAACTGGTTCTAAATAGAACTTGACTTTTGAAGAATGCTTACACAAGAACCTAAGGCTATACTAACTAAAATCAATGATACAATATACCAAAAATCCTAATTGGCAGGCTTTAATTAAGGCATGAAAAAACTTGGTCCAAGTTTTAGGCTTTTTGGGTATTGCTGCAGCTTATCTCTAGTACTAGGGTCTTTTATTATAATAACTTATTCAATTCTCAATTTTTCAAATGCAGTTCATAAGATCTAAGTTACATGAACATAAATTTCAGCAATTTCAGAGTAAGTATCATTATTATTTAGATTTAATAACATTGATCACAAACTTAATCACTTTAATGAATTATATATAAGAGTCTTAAATTAGAATTTAACTAATTTTATACTTTTCCTTTAAACTAAAAATTACAATTTTATGATCACAGAAACAAGACAATACAAATTTAGCTTATTTTTAGCATATTTTATTATAAGAAAGAAACTACTTTAAGTACAATACTTTGCATTGGTTAGATTTTCAAGCTTTTGAACTCAATCTAAGTTATTTTTTATTCAAAATAAAATTGATCAGTTTTATATATTATCATGCAAGCTCATATAATTATGGCTTTTTTTTGCACTAATATTTTTATGCACAAACTATTACACAAGTTAATATTTACAAATGCACAAATATTGAAGTAATACTTATCACTAATATTCAACAAATCTTTAATATTTATGTATTAAAAGCTGAGTACATATTTTATTACATATTTTAATATTTTTTTACATGCAATATATCAATACTAACAATTATTTTATTTAGAGTAATCCAAAATTAAAAGTGCAATTATGAAACACATTTTTGATAAAGAATTTTTCAAATGCTTCTTTATTTGTTGGTTGCTTCTGATCTTTTAAACTTTTAGTTTTACTTATTAAATTTAGTTTAATTTCTTTTTGCTCATTTTGATCAATTCAATCAATGCTTCTTGTGAAGATTCAGGTAGGTTAGCTGCTAAAAATTCTTTAATTGTATTAAATGATGAATAATTACTTGCTAATATAAAATCATTATATATTTTTGTAGATTTTTTGTCTTGACTGGTTATTTTATTAGCTTTATTACTTTGTGTTTCAGGTAGTAAAGAATTTGAGACAAGCATCAATGCATTAAAAAATTTATTTAATCTTTGCTGTTGCATTACAGATTTGGAATGTTTATATGATGCTAAACCTTATAGAGTTTTGTGACAAGTAATAGACATAATGATTGAATCTAAATATTCCAATTCTTTCAATACTTGAACAGAAGTTTTGTGACCTGAATAATTAGATATATTTTAGTTTCTAATTATAATATTTGTAGTCTTACAGATCTGATGAAAATAGTTTTTTAATAAATGTTCAGGCAAAGCATAACTATAATACTATTGTATGATAAACTCAACTGCAATAAAATGAATTTTTATTATTACATTTTGATTAATTACAATTAATGTATACAAGATTAACTTATTAAAAAAAAAACTAGTAGACCAGAAAAGCCAGAAATTTTATAAAAATTTTTTAAAGTATAACTACTTACTATCATCTTGATTAAAAGGTTTCAAGTAAAAGTTCATAATAGCACTTACTGGACATTTTATAAAATAATATTCATAATCAGCTATAATGCTTTTTATGTTTAGCAAACTAATTGTTTCAGCTTATGCATTAGAATTATTCAAACCTCTTTGGTTTATCTTTAATCTATACAACTTAACATCAATACTGCCATCAAACCTTTTTACAAAGTTACTAATTAAAAGATTTTGATGTTTGCCACCATGTAAAGCAAGCAATATTGAATTATAAAAAAATATATGATGTAATAAACCTTCAAAGAAGGTGCATTGCATCATAGAGTGTTCTAGAATTTGCTCAACTTCATTAATTGTTAAACTATCCATACTATTACATTTACCTAGATCTGCATAAGAGAGTGTTTTTTATCTTTCTATTAATAACAGTATTTAATTCATAAAAAACTTTTGGATTTAAAATGTTTACAGGTTTTTCTAAAACCAATTTCTCATTAAGGTGATGCCAGATAGCAGCTATGCAATTTTTTATTGAGGATGCATAGTACTTTTTATCATCTTTACATTTCATTGCATATACAAATTTAGATAGTTGGTCTTTAAGAACTGACTTTAAATCAATATCCTCAATCCTTCCTTCATAACTGATATCTGTACAGAACTTCTCTAAAACCTTTACCCATACTTGTGTTGCTTTATGGGTCATTTTTACTTTAGAGCTATTATAGATATTTTTCAAATCTTCTGAAAACAGCTCCACATACTTGAAAGTCTATAAAATTACATTAGTTTGGTTTTAAATATGACTAATTTCAAAAAAAAAAATAATTAAACCTTGGCAGTTGTAATGCATAAAGTTTTCTTGTTCGACTTTGGCATTTTTTTTGTTACTATTAACTAGTTTACAGCCAACTTTCTTGCAATGATTTGAAAAAAATTTTGATCAACTATCTGATTTATTTATACTAATGATGATGTATTAGAAGACAATTTTACTATATTATAATTATATTTGCATGATAACATTAATATTGGATCATGCATTGATAAATAATGTAAAATTAGTTCAATAGTGACATATGATTGGCTGGCACATGCTGCTTTGTGGCATGTGTCAGATGATCATATACTACTATTTGTCTGATTAAACTAATTTTATATTATTTATCAATGTATGACCAATATTTTATACTTATTTTTTACATATTCATAGAAAGAATATATCTAATTTAAATGTACTTTTGCTCTTATTTTATCCTTTTCATCTATTTTATCTTTTGTATAGATCAACTCTTTTTACTTTATTTAATTAATTTGGTCAATCTATCTGTATTGAGAAATAACATAAATAGAATTAATAGAGTAGAGTAAATAGAAAAAATAAAACAAATAGAAGAAAAAGAAATTTTGTGCTATGCCAGATGCATAGCTTTACTGAGATAAGCAATTTTAACTTTTACAATTCTCTCTCACCAAAGAGAGCATGTTTTATGAACTCATTTTGATATAAGCACTGGAATTTCTCTTTTTTGAGATTAGTGATCATGAAGAGTTTTATATATATAGTGTGATAAAGTTGTTCAATCCTAAAAGGTTTGAACAAATAGTAAAAGTAAGTGGCAGCTCTTATAAAGTATCTAGTATACTTTCCTTGAATTGTGAATTTTTCAGTTAGATTCATTAGGTAAAGTCAAGCACCAAAATAATAGGTATATACTAGACTTTCAACTTTTTTACCTTTCTTCTTTGCTCTTTTTATTGTATTATAAGCTAAGAATAATTGGGTCAGTAAGTCTTAAGTCATATTATAGAAACAAAGTTCAAGAAACACAATTGCTAGTTCTATAGTAGCTAAGTCTTCACAGATCAAGGCTTCATTATTGCTTATTATGTTTTTATTTATTATTAGAAATAAATTTTCTAGAAGTTGTTCTTATTTCTATTTATATTTTTTTTGTAATAGCATTTAAGAAGTTTTTTTGTTTATAGGATTTATTAGTACTCTTTCTTTAAGATTACATAATTTGTAGATGCTATTACCAAGAGTATTATAGATATAGTATGATCTCTTCTACTGAGGTATTAGTTTGTCACTATGGGTTTGAATACTTTGTCACAATACTGAAGTTGGAAGTGGCTTTTAGATGATAGTTATGATTTTTCTTTTGTTTCTGTTTCTAGATTTCAATTTTTTTAAGAGCTTAGTTTTAGGCTTGTGATAAATTATTTTTTAATTTATACATCTGCTGAATAATCATTCTATTAAGTAAATTTTTAGTTTCACTAGTAAATAGATAACCTGACATGCCTCTTATACAACAGATAAAAAGATGTTTGTTAGATTGTACTATGTCTCACTGTCCTGTATACAAATAATACTGATAATATTAGTAGGTCCTAATTAGTTACATTTTCAACTAGTTTTGCAATTGACAAACACAAAAATTTGTTAAATTATTTTACAAGTCTATTGGTCTGTAGATGATAAGAGCTAGAATAATGATGCTTTATTTGTAATAAAGAAAGTAAATTATCAATAAGAAGATTCTTAAAATGAGATCCTCTATTAGATAACAGATACATTAGGCATCTGTGGCAGCATACTATATCTTTGTAGATGAACTTCACTACTTCTTCTGCATTATCTTTTGGTATCATACAAGCTTCATGTCACTTTGTCATATAGTCAGTAGCTATTACAATATATCAATTTAATCAAGAGATTATTTGTAATGATCTAACTATATCTATTTCTACTCTATTAAATAGTGCTATTATTGGCAGGATATATAGTAGTTTCTTTAATTTTCTATCTTCTTGATGTTGGCAATAATCACAAGTTTTGACATATTTATATATGTCATTATATATCTGCAGCCAATAGTAATAATTACACACTTTATTAAACATGATTTTTATTCTTAAATAAGTGCCTATAGGGTAATAATAGATTTGAATAAGTATTAGTTCCAGTTTATGTTCTTGCAAAACCTTGAGCAAATTATTGAGTTTGCATCTATTCTTTTTATACAAAATTCTTTCTTTTATAATGAAAAACTAACTTTGTGCCTCTAGTTTTTTATGCTGGTCTTAATTATAGATAGGTAGATATTGTCAGTATAGTAGATAAAGCTTTAATTTTGAGTATCATTGTAGATCTATTTTTTTTTTTTTGTTTATTGCCAGAACACTAGAACCTAGACTAAATTCTTTTTTTCAGATTTGAGTATTAAAAATTATTATTATTTTTATTTTTTTTAAATATATATATATATACTAATTTTTATTCTTTTTAATATTCATCTATGTTCTATTAGGCTTCACCAGATCCTTGATCACTTGGAGCTACATTTGGTCTTTTAATTTCATAGTCATTATCACTAAGTCCTTCTGTCTCTTTAAGATTATATATATCTTGAGTACCTGATGCCTTTTCATAAGAGTCTTGCTAGTATTTACTAGAGATAAGGATTGTACAGATTATAAGCTTTCTTATTGACTTTTTTAAATTCAAGTTCTTCTGCCAACTTACTTCATCTGAGTGAATCGATTAGATAAGCTTTGTCCAGATTTCTAGCTTCATTTACTTCATTCTGAAGTACATTTTTAAAATTTAACCAAGATATTTCTTGGCCAAATTTACAAGCAAGTATAGCTTTATATTGCCTTTCTCTTTTATTATAATCAATAATTACCTCTTCTTCTTCTTTTTAAGTAACCTATAATTCTTACTCTTCAGTTAGTTCTTCAGGTGTAATTATGAGCTCTTCACCATTATTTGCATTCCAGCTGCTTCATTAATTCTAGGTCTCTTCTTCATTCTTACTTTCTTCATCTTTATCTACTTTTTCTTTAGAAGGAGTGAGTAATAGGTTTAGGTTATCCATTCTGTCTACTTTTGAGTTATAGTAATAATTTTCAATACTTACTTAAAATTTTTTAGTTTTTTTATTATTTTCATCTTGAGTTCTCCATAATACAAATTCATCTGAGTTCTTATAATTAGTAAGATTTTTTTCTTTTTCTTTCTTGTGTTTAGTAGGAATTCATTTTATTTCATCTTTATTGGTTAGTTTAGTTAAGTATTTATCTATATTCATTATTGGTTTTAAAATATCTAATTCTTGTTCTATTTCTAATGCATTTTCAACTTGTGCTACTTGGATTTATTTATAATTAGGTTCTTGGTAAGGCAGTTTTTATAAATATTACTTCATTTTTTTAGATTATTCTATTTGCTCTATCAGGTTCTTCAGATATTAGGGTTTTATCTTCTTTTAACTATTCATTATTGGTGTTATAGTAATAATTTTCTCCTTTAGTCCAACATATTTTGTTCTTAGTAGTGTTATATCTTTGGTGTTTTTGGTCTTGAGAAAAACTTTTATCTTTATTTTTTGAAATCTCTTTCATTATTTTAAATAAGGCATTTGTGTTGTAATGAATATAACCTGCCCTATATACAATAATAAAATTGTAAGGTTGCAGCTATAAAATCTAATAGACCCTTTTTTCTTTCAATACTGTGGTTTGTAAATATTTTAGAGCTGTATAATTAGTTACTACTACAAAGAGTTTGAACCTGAAATAATGATAAAAATATTTTACAACCCAAACTACTACATAATACTTTAGCTTTGTTATAGCATAATTTCTTTCTGTTTTAGTTAAACTCTTGCTGCCATAAGCTATAATATGTTCTTTTTTATTCTTATTATTTTGTGCCAGTACTGTACCAAAACTTATTCCTAAAGCATTTGTATAGAGGTAAAAAGTTTTATTGAAATTGGAATATCTTAGTATTGGAACTAAAGTAAGGTATATTTTTAATTTTTTAAATGCTTGTTTATGTTAAGTCTCATTTATATTTTACATCTTTTTCTAATAACTGGTATAGTGGTTTTGCAATGGTTACAAATTTTAAATAAAGCAATGATAATATAAAACAAGACCAATAAAGTCACATAATTGCCTTAAACTTCTAGGAGTAGAGAACTTCTTTATTTTGGTTATTTTCTCATTATTAGATATTATGCTATTCTTTCCTACTATGTGCTCTAGGAACCAGATGTTTGTTCTAAAAAACTGGTATTTTTTTGAATTTACTTTTAACCCTGCTTCTTGGATTGCTGAGAGAATATTTTTTAGATATTTGTAATGTTCATATAATATAGCCAAATAGACATTTATATTGTCTAAATAAACTACAACACATTTTTCAATATACTTTTGCAAAATTTCATTTATAGCTCTTTAAAACATAGCTGAAGTATTACATAGCCCAAATGGCTTTACTTTAAAGGCATATGTGCCTTGTTTAGTAATAAATGCCATTTTTCTCTAATCCTCTTTATTTATCTGTATTTGCCAATATCTACTATAAAGATCAAGACTAGAGAACTATTTTGCCTTAGCAAAGGCTTCTAAAAGTTCATCAATTTGAAGTAATAAATATGCATTCTTCTTGGTTACTACATTGAGCTTTAGTAATTTACACATAAACATAGTTTACTATTTTTTTTTGGCATCACTACTATAGGTAAGGTCCAAGAGCTTTTTATTTCAGTTATTAGTTTATTTTCTAACATTTTTTAATTTCTTTTTTTATGAATTTCTGTTCTTTAGACAAAGCTTAATAGGCAGATTGCTTTATAGGTTTGGCTTCTCCAGTGTTTATCTCATGTTGGACTACATTGAATTGGCTCAATTGATTAAAACTGGTTGCGAACAAGCTGCTAAAATTATTTAAAAGAAGTGTTGCTTTATTTTTTTCTTTTTCATTTAAAGTTTTCACATTTACTAATTCTTTAATTACTTCTATAGATGTTAATTCATCTTTACTAGGCTTTTCAGAAGTTGGAATTTTCTCTAAAATCATTAGATATATTGTCAGACTATAAACATCTTTTTATGGGTTTGTATATAATTCTCTTTCTTCTGATGCAATATTATCAGTATGATAGCTTTTGACTTCTTTGATATCTTCTTCTTTATAGTTATCAAAAAAGTCATCTTCATCACTACTATAGCTTTGGAGTAGTTTTATTTTATCTTTTTTGTCCTAATAAATTAAAACTTCAATATTCTTGCCTATGTATTTTAGAAATAACTTTTTTTCATTAAAGTGAAGCTGAACATGCACTTTCTGAAACTAGTCCATTTCTAATAGCAACATTTTATTATTATTTTCAATTACTTGGAAGCTAGTAGATACTATTAAATTTCTTATAATTAGTTTTATTTCTAGTAATTTGTCTAATATCCTTTTTCTGGCATTATTGGCTATTATGACAACAGTATTCGAAAGTTCTTTAATTGTGAGGCCTAGTTTTCTTGCTAACCTTTTTGAAATGATATTTACAGCAGCTCTAGAATCTAAACTTAGGTTATTTTGTATTCTAATATAGTATTTTGTGATAGTTGTTCATTGGTTATGTTTATTATTGACAACATTTGATTCTTCAACAGTAGTGATAATGGGTCATCATAATGCTTGAGTAAGGTTATGTTTTTGCTTAAATATTTGAAGCATTTGGGCATAGGTGGCATTAGCTTTTTGGTTTAATAGATCTTTTGCAACATTATATTGGAAGGTGGCATCTATAACAGAAGAACCTCTATGACATCTTGTATTATTCTTTATTTGTTGAGATTGGGCCAAAGTTTGTTCTTTACAAATTTTTTCCATAGAGATAGGTTGAATTGGTTGTCTTTTGACTTGGTTTTTGGGTCACTTTGCTATGTAATCATTCATCTTAATTTGCCTTCATTCTCCTTTTGAGTCTCTCCTTTCTATTAGTAGTATAGGGTTGATAGCAATACTGGGTAGAAACATATACATCTTCTTTAGCTTTGTTGTTATATAAGTTATTGTAATTAATATTCTTTGATTGCTGCAAGATCCTATTTATATAGGGTCTTCTGAGGTTTTAATTTTATTCAAAAAGACAATTTCTGATAATATGTCTTCTTTCTTCACAATTATAGTATTCAACACTACTATTAGATAATTGTCACAATGGTAAGTTCTATTTTGAGTAGGCTAAGAGTTATAAAGTCTATTTTGGCTTAGTAGAGAGCTAGTTTTAGCTTTAGCAGCAAGAGTAGTAGTTAATATTTGCTGCATAATTTGGGTAAACTTTTCTAAAGCTTGTTAGTAGGTCTTTTATTTTTTCTTTCTTGGTAGTAGTCTCCAGCTTCTATTTTACAAGCTCCAAGAATTGCTGTGTCAAGACTGTTTAGCTCAATTATTAATATAAAAGAGGCTATTTTATCTTTTAATTCTTTCATAAACATTCTTATAATATAACTATTTGAGAGTCTATCATCTGGGTTAACTTTTTTTAATAGCCACTTAAATTTGTAAGCATATATGTTTACTTTTTCATCTTCCTTTTGCTGAAAAGAGTTAAGGTCACCTGCCATTTATGGTGCCTTTTAGGAGTTGTGAAATATCTTATAAACATATAAATAAAGCTGTTTTTAATTTTTTAGCATTACTTCAGACTCTTAACAACCTTTTTTGTTATTATTATACCAATTAATAGCAATTCCATCTAAATATCCAAAGACAATTGCTATTCATTGTTTTTTGGGCCAATTATTAATATTAGCTGCTTATTTGAATATGTTTATTTATTTTACTAGGTTCTCTTCTTCTTTTTCTTTAAAGTTTTTATTTGTATCTAGTTGGTTTTCTGGCTATGATGATTGGTATCATTATTTTCTTCTTTAGCTACTTTAGTTGCAGCATCCTAAAATGCTTGAGTAATATCTTTTAAAATGCCATTGATATTTTCCTAAAAATTTGCATTTTGGGTGCTAGTAGGGCCTTGCTCATCAAAGTTAAGTAGGTAGTTAGATATTTCTTCATGGTGTTTACTTGTTAAGCTTGAAGACTTTTCAGAAGAGAATACTATCTTATTTTTATTCTTTTGTAATAGTTGCTTGTGGTGTTTTAGGTTTTTTTAGTTCATGAATTTTTTTAATTAGATGCAATAGTGTGATTGCTAATATTAGTTCTATTTTACAGTTACTACTAATTAAAAATGTTGGGACTAGTTCTAGATAGAACTCAACTTTCAGAGAATGCTTATACAAAAACCTAAGGTTATATTAACTAAAATCAATAATACAATATATCAAAAGTTCTAATTGGCAAGTTTTAATTGAGGCATGCAAAGACTTGAACTGAGTTTTAGACTCTTTGGTATTGCTGCAGCTTATTTCTAGTACTAGGGTCTTTTTACTATAATAGCTTATTTTTTTTTTTTTTTTTTTTTATTGCTAAAGGCCATACTTGTAGCAATACTTTATTGACTTTATATCAGATTAGCTATTACAACTATTTTTACAGAGATAAGAGTACAGCTAGTTATGTGTGCAACTTTTGGTTGCCTATTTAAGTAGTTTATTCTAAGGTTCTATACTAGATGCCATACCTATAACCTACTAGAAGATTATTTATTTAAATCCTCTAATTATCTGCTCTGTCATATTGGAATTCCCAACTTATCCTCCATATATACCTAACCAGTATACTGTCTGAGCAGTATGGTACCTACCTTTTTTTGTACTGGTTTCCAGACTGTTATACATTTCAGAGTATGTCATCTGTCAGTAAGATGCAGAAGACCCTTGTTGTTAACTATTTACCCACTTTTAGAACACTAACATGGGCTACCTTTACAGAGTTTACTCAGACCCCAGTACTAACTTTATAGCATATTCTTAGTACTTTTAGTATACCTCTGCTTTGAATCCAGACTCTCAATCCAGATAGCCTGAAAGAACTATAACCTGTTCTTGGTATATTGAGGCTGGTCCAATATTCTTTTCTTCTAGTCTAAAATCTGATAGCCTGATCGATAGTACCCCTCATCCGAGGTTCTTGCTTGCCTGAATTCTTCATATTGGTATCTATTTCCTAGGTTTAGCTTTTACAATAATACTGTCAAAGATCTGTATTACCTCTCTGCTCAGAATTTCCAAGTGGACTCTGGCTTTTCAGTTCTACAAATTTACATAGCCCAAGGACTTATTTTAGGTTTGCATCACCTAGTATCGGTTTGCATTCCTCTGTGTAACAGGTTACACAAATGCCCCAGACCTGCTAGTCATACTAGTGCGATCATAGTTACAGGTATCCTATTTCAACTAATTGACAAAATGCAGTTGCCATAATACTGTCTATATATTACATAGGTAATTATCCAAATTTCATCATTAGTAAGTTTTGAACTCACAACCTACCACTTGGGAGTATGACAACTTATCTACTTCATTAAATCACTATATCCTATAATAGATTATTCAATTCTCAATTTTTTAAATATAGTTCACAGAATCTAAGTTACAGAAGCATGAATTTCAGTAATTTCAGTATAAATAACCTTATTATTTAGATTTAATGCTATTGATTACAAACTTAATTACTTTAATGAATTATATATAAGAGTTTTAAATTGAAATTTAACTAATTTTATGCTTTTTTTTTAAACTAAGAGTTATGATTTTACAATCACAAAGACAAGACAATACAAATTCAGCTTATCTTTAGTGCATTTTATTACAAGAGAGAAACTACTTTGAGTATAATACTTTGCACTGCTTAGATTTTTAAGCTTTTAAACTCAACCCAAGTTATTTTTTATTTAAAATAAAATTAATTATTTTTATATATTATTTTTTACATATTTATAGAAAGAGTTTATTTAATTTAAATGTACTTTCACTCTTATTTTACTTTTCTTATCTATTTTACCTTTTGTATAGATTAACTTTTTTTACTTTATTTAATCAATTTGGTTAATCCATCTGTGTTGAAAAATAACATAAATAAAATTAATAAAGTAAATAAAAAAAATAGAACAAATAGAAAAAAAAGAAATTTTGTGCTATGCTAGATGCATAGCTCTACTGAGGTAAGTAATTTTGACTTTTAAAACATGCATTATTAACTATACATATACTTGCACATATATGCATATATATATATATATATATATATCTTAAAAGCTAGTTATAACATTTCCAAATTGACTTGACTCTAATATAATACTATGAATCTTAATTGTTTATTACTATTTTAAGATTTTTATTAAAATATACATCATCAAAAAATCAATTTAAAGTCATACAATAAAGCAAGAATTACAATTACAGATTTAACATATTTTACTTTATTAGCTACTATTACAGTTAATGATTGTATATACAAGTATATAAAATATAATTAATATATAAACATATATAAATACTTAAACCTTCTATATAAGCAATATATACAGTAATTACATTTTTACAATTTCATATATTTACTTTTTTTCTTTATATGAACAAGTTGCAATATTATAACCTAGTTGCTTACAAAATCTACAATTATATTGTCTATGCTTTTTACTGTTTTGTATAATCAATACAATATTTTTACTATGACTTGCTGACTTTGACCTTTCTTTAGTGACTACCTTTTAGAGATTTGCAATTTGTATTATTATTATTATTTTTTTAATATTAATAGTGAGGCCATACCTCTATCTTTATTAAATATTTAATTAAGATTTTATATAAAGTACAATTCTGTTTTTAAAATATTATAAAAAGAATAAAAGCTCAAACTAATTTATCTATGACCTAAACCAACTGGAGTGGTCAAGACTCATCTAGATTTGAGTATTAGTAATTATGTATAGAGTATTAGTTTGATATTTAATCTATTGAATATATTAGAAGTTTATTTTTGAACTACTAAAATTGAATAGAAGAAAATATAATGAAAGTAAAGCAGCATTTGAAGGTGTGTTATATTTAGGAAGTTGGGTTGTAGATCTTGAGATACAATATAGAATTCAGATTTTGTAATAGATTTGTTGATTAAAATAAAGTAAGAACTTAATTATAAGTATTGTAGCTATTTTTTTGGATAATAAAATTGTAATAATATCAATAAGTTCATTTGGTATTAGACCTGCTAAAGTTAAAAAAAACTGAAAGTAAATCTGATATACTGTAAATAGTCATACTATTCAATAGCTTGATTTAGTTATACAGATTAGTTATAGTATTTAATATAGTATTGAGTATTTTAGTGTTTAAAGTATGTTGTAATGAAATATCTATGAGCCTGTATAGTAGTTGATTAAATGAACAAGTTGTCCAGTAAAGGTGAGAACTAATTTGATAACAATAATAACAGATAGGTAAGTATGAGTGACATCATTTGTAAAGTAAGAAGATTATTTAGTAGAATTTTAATTCTAAAGGATTTAAGAATAAAGAACTAAAAGCTGTACAAGAAGTTTAAGATTTTTTGATTGTTGTTAATATATAGTTAAGTAGCTTGCCAATTAACTTGGTTAAGGATTTTGTGCCATTTTTGAAAATAGTTTTGTGTAATTCATAATGTTAAATATATACATTAGTGAATAGGTAATTCTAAGAAAAAGTTTTCAAAGTTTAAGATATATGCAGAGTTGTAAATATTATAAGATATAAAGATAAGATATAGCAAATTGTAATGACTGCATGCAAGTTGGTTTGCAAGATTGTTGTACTAATTATTTTGGTAAATAGTAACTTTGTAAAAAATAATATAAATATTTTATAATTTAACAAAGTTAATGAGTATGTTTCATAATAAGAAATATGATGTATATATATAGGATAGGATATGAATTAAGTTTGAAA